CTAAACTAAAGCAGATTCAACCAAATATCTTAAAGATTTAGGGGCAACGGCATACCGGGATACCGGGCTACCGGTGCCGGGGTCCGGTAGGGGGCTACCGGTAGGGGATGCCGAGGGCCAACGTACGTAATAATCTGAGAAAAATGATTCTTTTCCAAGGTTTTAAACTTGCACAGCCACAGAGACTGCAATTATATAGCTGTGTATATATATTTATGGGACGTGCGGTCATCCTCACAAGACAAAACATGCGATGACATATTATTATTTGTCCGCCGATCTTTATGTATGACTAATTGCGATCATTTTAATTGTCAAAATCGCTGAAATTGCACATTTTCTGTTGAAATACGGGCTGAAACGTGATGTGCGGCAGCAAGGAGCCGAGCTGAACCTCTGATTGCGCAACCCAAAATGGGCTGTTGGTGTCTGTCGGCGTATCGCTGCATGTCGCCAATATAATGTTTGCATATACGTTTCTATAGCCTGATTTTTCAGTCTGGCTAATGTCTCAACGCGGCGTCTACGTGTAGATGTTTATGACATTACAGGATCTAAATCACTGTATTTTGTGTTACCTTTAAATATGTCCGACTTGAAAATACAACTGTTGAAGGCAGTAGGAACCAACCGACCACCGTGCAGCACTACGTTACACAAAAAGCATTTCGTGCCTAACTTACTTCCATTGAATGCAGCGTTTTATTATAATAATAATCACACACAGTATATGTAATTTTAAATTAGCCGATTTTTATTTGAAATAATCTGAAAGGGTATATCTTTTGTAGGATTAATTGTTTAGCTGATGTTGGCAGGAACAGTGGGATAAAGGAAGCAATGCCAGATTTTATTATAGCATCCAAAGAAAAGTTGGAGAATGTAGGAAATGTAACAGGAATAAAAAAGAAGAAGATATTCTATCTAGATTAAGGTTTGGACATACAGGTTTAAACAGTACTCTTAAAATAATTAATAAACATGATACAGGTTTCTGTAGTTATTGTGGGAAATTAGAAACAATACAACATTTTTTTTTAGAATGTAGTAAGTATGTTCGAGAAAGGGAGGAGTTAATTAGAAATTTAAATAGGAATAAAAATAAATTAGATATTAGAAGTTTGCTTCAAAGATCATCGGGGGATGTAGTCTTTAATAGTATTTTTAATTTTCTAAGAAGAACAGGTATTATGGGAAGATTATAGTGATTATACATCTGATCCATACTCCAGTCTAGAAGGTGGCGGTAATGCACCTAAAAGTTGTTTGCCAACCGCCATAAAAAAACAAGAAGAAGAAGAAGTTTAGCTGATGTTTCAGGATAAGCCGGGGACCTAAATAGCAACTGCACTCAGGGAACCGGCATTTGAAGGATGGTGGAAGGTGTTGTCGGACAGAAAACATTTGGTTAAAGAGCGGTTTGACATAAACTGGTTTGTGACTGGATCGAGATGGACATACAGGTAGGAGATGGAGAAGATGAAATGGAATTTAATGATTGGACCCCGGTTGATAGAGGTAAAGGGAGAAGGGATAAAACTAATACGAGGCAAGGTATGGAGGCAAAGGCACTTGTTAGCCAGAAAAATAAAAGAGGTTTGGAGGGAAGTAGTTCAGAGGAGGATAACCGGATGATTCGAAGGTCAGAGTGGACAAGCTTTAAGGGTTAAACTAATAGATGTAGACAAGTTGGTTTTGTTTGTTGCATATGTGATAAACTGTGCAGATCAGGTTAGACAAAAGACTGAGAAAATTAAGATCATTGTGAAAGCAGCCGAAACATTTCTTAACATGAAAGATGTAACTTGGGAACAAATCAATAAAAGACTAGAAGAAATCGGGAAATCAGGGGTCCTAGGGGACAAGACTTAGTTTGAATGTTAATCCTTCAATGGAATGCAAGGAGTTTGATAGCAAACGGACAGGAATTTAAAGGATTTATTAATGGTCTTCGAAAGAAACCAGACATTATCTGCATTCAAGAAACTTGGCTTAAACCAACATTAGATTTTGTAATTAAAGGATATGATAGTATACGTAGAGATAGGGTGGAGAAAGGTGGGGGAGGATGTATAATATTTGTGAAACAAGAAATACAATATAGAATATTACAGAAAGGAAAAGAATGGGAAATGGTAGTGCTTGAAGTTTGGACGAAAGATGGTTTAATCAAAATAATAAATTTTTACAATCCTTGCAAAAAGTTGTCGTTAGAATTGTTGGAGGAATTGGGGGTACATTTAGGTGGGAAAATTATTTGTTGTGGGGATTTTAATGCTCATAGTACGTTATGGGATAGATATAATGATAATAATGGAGAAGTTATTGAGGAATTAATGGAAATTAAAAACCTAGTTTGTCTCAATGATGGAAAAGGTACAAGAATTGATATGAGAAGTGGTAAAGAATCTGCAATGGATCTTACTTTAGTGTCAGAAACAGTGGCTGGTATTTGTAACTGGGAAATTATAAAAGAAACAACAATGGGAAGTGATCATTATCCTATAATAATAGAAACAGGGGTGAGGTTGGGTGAGTGTGATAATGGGGGAGTGGATAGATGGGTTTTTAGTGATGTTGATTGGGGAAAATATAAGCAGATTAGCGATAAAACTATGGAGACAGTTGATGTAAATCAAGATGTTGATGAATTAAATCATTCTGTTTGTGAAGCCATTATAAGAGCTGCAAAGCAAACAATTAAAAGGAAGGGAGGTAGAAATAAAAAGAAAATTGTGCCATGGTGGACAAAGGAATGTGATAAAGTAATAAAAAATCGGAATAAAGCGTTGAAACTATTAAAAAGAACGCATAATTTCCAGAATCTTCTTGAATTTAAAAGGTTACAAGCGAGTGTGAGGAAAATAGTTAAAAATGCAAAGAGGGAGTATTGGAGGGAATTTTGTAGTTCCATAGGAAGGGAAACAGAAATAGGTAAAATATGGGGAATGATTAAAAGAATGAATGGAATTAAGAGAGACTATGGGTATCCTGTCTTAACTTAACCACCTGGTCTGAAAATGATGGGTAAAGTCATCTGATCATTCCTAGCCCATCTGCCAAACTTGTTGAAGCATGATATTATACTTAAAGTCAAAATACATCCTTGCTGCTTATCATAGCAGTGAGACATGACATTACATATGCCATTGTGTTAATGGATTATGGATAGAATACATAATGATCTAATCCTAGTGGTAAAGTGCTATTACAGCGTCACTGTAAATTGCCCTGACATATTGTTTGTATTAAAGTGTAAGCGTGCACGTTTTAAGATGTTTTTCTTCAGTTTTTTAATTGTTTACATTTCAACCTGCCCGAATGAGGGCGGTTTGAAGCATATGTCACACCCATACTTCCGTAATTCTGTGGCGGGAGATGAAGAAAACAGGAAGCAAGCTCGGCTCGTTTTGGCGTTTTGTTTTCGAGGCAACAAAACAAAGTGGAAGCTAGCAAACAGAGGGAAAAGGTATTCTTAAAAATGAACATTAGTAGTCCCGTGCAGACCAATGACTGGACGAACACAAAGGAGGCGGTTGCTAACTTCCGTCGACTTCTCCTTTGTTCTAAATGGTAAGTTAACATTAACTTAGTAGTTGTTTATCTGTAAATTGGATGTATTATGAAACTCCTCACAAATGCATCATGCACACTTACGTTACTTACTATTGATTATTTGGGTGGACAAGATGAATAACTGACCGATACGCTCTTTTGGAGATTTCTGTTCGTTTTATGTAAGTTGAGGACGAATCTTCAGAACAGCTTATAAGTGTATGCTATTTTAAATCAGCACGAAAACATTATTATTTTTAAATAAAGCATCGGCAGTAATATGCAATTAGTCATAACTGATTTCGAAGAAAAAATAAGTTTCAGACAGCAGAATGAGGGACTCTAAATGTACAGTCCAATGCAAACTTCACGGCGTGGTGCTGCTGCTCATGATGGTTCGTGTTTGCCACAGTGATAGATTGTTGGTTCCGGGGAGGGTTTGAAAAGTGTCTAAGCTGTTTTAGTTAGATGGATCATTGTATTGACCTTTTATAAAACAAACACAAAAAAAAGTACATAGAAAAACACCCCTGCTCTGTGCTGCTCATATGGTTATATTTTTTAACTTCAGAACTTGAGTAAGTTCGGTTTGCCTAGAATGGTCATCTGTTTCTGATGCCCAGAGTAGCAAAGGTGTGGTTGCAATGACTACTAATCAGTCTTTTCTCCCTCCCTCTCTTCTCCCAGCTCAAACATGATGGAGGAGCCTGTGTGTCTGGGCTTGTGTGAGCATATGCTGTGCAGGTAATGCAGCGTCTCTGTGATATGCTTATTACACACAGGCTTGTTCGGAGGCAGGGAGCTTTAGTTGCTGAACACAGGTGTAGCTAATAAAGATAATGATTTCTCCATTCCATTTAAGTGTGCTGCTGCTAGGATTGAGAAATTGTCCACACCAGTGTACTGGCAGAGCATAATGGCGTGCCTAAGTGATGTTTAAAAGTAACAGTATAGCCTGTCTGCTATGATGCATCAAAGTGGCTGGAGTGGAAGCAATTTTTTTCCGTCCATTTTGTCATATCAAATGATCAAATTCAATATGAAAATTATTTTTCATTGTGAAATGTTCAAATGGGGAAGACAGTTATTGTATCTATGCATAGAAATAAGAACACTGAGTGGACAATGTCGCTGTGTTTATTGCTCAGGCCCTGTGCCGGCCCCCGGGCTGGAGACGGCTGTGTGGTGTGTCACAGCCCCGCCTGGGTGAAGGACATCCAAATAAACAGGCAGCTGAGTAGCATCATACAAATCTTCGGTGGTTTGGAGTCCCTGTTTAATCCAACCAGACAACCAGATGGTGAGGAGCTTTGCATTGACATGTATAGTTTTGACAGATATATTGCAACATTATTTTTCTTTGATTTAGCCTCTAAATGGCAGTGGTTTGTTGAATGTATCACCCATCCAGGTAATGACAAGTAATATGTGGTGGACTTAACACCATCATTAAAAAATCTGAAGATGATTTTTCTTTTGAAAGAGTCTCAATAAGTAGTTAAAATAATTCAAGTGGATAAATATGCACATATCTGCAGGGGTTTTGTTAGAATGTATGAAAACATCTCCAGGGTTATTAGAAATTGAATGAAGCTATGCTTAAAAAAAAAAAATCCCATCTCCTATTGTTAACACAAACAGATTTTCTAAAAGCCACTCATGGTGAGAAGCTGCAGTTTACACACAGCAGGGGAGGGATTTTTTTGTGCTGGTAAATGTGGATTCTCTGTGTTTTTTGGATGCTTCATTGCAGAGTCAACAGTTGCTGAAATGCTAAGGCAGCCTGACGCTACAGTGTTAAAGCACAAGAAGAACTTCAAGATTTGGTTCAGCCCCCGCAGTCGCAAGGTGCGCTGCACGGTGGAAAAGCCCTCTGAGGTGGTGGTGACAGGCGGCGTGTCCTCTGAGGAGACTGGTGCAGCACAGCAAGGGGTTCCCGCTGACCGGCGCCAGGATCTGTCGGTCTTTAATTTTATCACGTCCTCCCAGGACTCTTCCTCACCGCAACGAAGCAGCGGTGTTAACAGACAAAGGAAGAAAAGGGCATCTAAGAACAGTGCCAAAAACAGCCGTGCACAGGTGCAAGGGCCTGCTACAACCACACGGAAACAGACAAAGCAGAATGTGAGGAAGAAGAGGCTGGAAGCTATAAACTTGCAATGGGGAATTGCAGAGGAGGCACTTCCCTCACCTGAGCTGGAGCAGCTTTGTGCTGATGGGCCACGGAGGTCCAGTAAAAGGGTTTCTTTCCTAAGCCCTGCTGCCACCTCTGAGGAACCTGAGCTTGAAGTGCCACAGGGCAGTACTAATGAACCCAGTCCTGCCAGCAGCACAATGAGAGACGGCCTCCCCAGAGACAGAATCAATGTACTGAATCACCAAACCCAGTCTGGTCAGAGCACGTCAAACAGTGTAGCTCTCTATGATGAACTACCTGCGAAAGACTCCGGCCCAAATGATAATCCTGAAAAGCAGATGTCTCCGTCCGAAAAACATTCAAAAAGGACCAGAGCTAAAAGAGAAAACAACACTTTGGAAAACACTCCAAAAAGGCCAAGGGCTTCTCTGGGCAGAGGGAGGAAGTCAGGTCGTCAGTTGTCTCCGGCTATCCTTAACCTCCAATCCTCAGCTACTCCCAAGGCCAATAAGAGTGTTAAAAAATGTAGAAAAGAGGAAAAGCTTAGTCCCCGTGTAGCACACGTTGCATCAGCGGTAAACCCCAGCAAATCTCCCAGCAGTCCCAGATTGTCAGGAGGACGTCCCAGTCCATCAGGGGGACGTCCCAGCCCAGGAAGCCCTGCAGTTATGAAGAGGAACCACAAGGGAGAGACCCCACTGCACCTGGCTGCAATTAAGGTAGAAAAAAGAAAAAATGGCCTAATACACCTTTATATCACTTTATTTCATGTGAGAAACATTTTCTCATTAGTCAAGCAATCTAAATAAAGATGATGGTTCACAGGAATACATAAATTACTTTTTATACCGTTTCACTTTTCTAAAAATGTAATTAAAATTATTTACCACCAATAATGAAAATACATTTTTTTCTTTTAGATCGTCTTTTAGTTTATTTTGAATAACTTGCGTTCAAATTGTCTCCTTGGTTGTGAAGATGAACATTGGCATCCAGGGACTTCTGTCTTGCAGTAATCTTTGTGAATGTAGTTGTAATCCCTCACTGCATCCCAGACATAGTAATCGATGACCCACTGTGGAGTTCGATTTGATAAAGCTCAGAGTTTTGGTTTCCTAGGACCAGCTGCGGGTTCCCTTCGCAGGCCTGTGATTCTGACCTCAGGTTTGTTCTTTCTCGGCCCTGCAGGGAGATGTAGAGGCTGTCAGGGAGCTACTGGACCAAGGAGCTGATCCCAACCTGAAGGATAATGCTGGATGGACTCCTTTGGTAAGTGATTTGTCTGAAAAACTCAAACAAATAATTTCATCCAGAAAGCAATACTTTTTTTAAAGAACAACTGTTCTCCCACAGTATAGATGTGTTTTCCTTTGAGTTGAAAGAGACATGTTTCTTGTAAAAATCAGAAGTTATTGCCATTTTCTTTATCATCCTGACATTTGTCTCTGACATGAGGTTGGTTGATAGTGTTTTTTTTCTAGGTTTAAATGCCCATTGTGAAATATTTCTCTGTCAGGCATGCTGAAAAATAACAGTGAGTCAGAGTCGATTTCCTTCAAATAAGAATCTGTGTTTTTGTTGACCACAAACAATGGTCTGTTTCTTGCTAATCCAGAAGGTACACTGTGTAAAGTGATGAAAGGAAAAGGATTGGATTACTCAGTTCTAGGCAGTCTGCAGTTTTCCTTCGACTGTAAATCAAACACACCGATCATTTAAGAGAATCTTAAACCGCAACCCAAGCAGATTTAAGTTTTTTTTTTTCTTTCTTTAAACAGGTAATTAGTGTTCTATAACACAATGTAAAAGTGCTTCTGTTCTTCAACATGTCCCACTTGACATGAAAAACAGCAGTGGATTTCACCTGTGCCTGGGGAGCATTTATTCAGCGCTCCATAGCTATTGGCTCCTCTCAAACCTGAGTTTATCCATTCCTGTTAAGAGAGTTTGCAGCTTGTCATTCAAATGCTGCTGATAAGCTTGGAGCCCAAAAACTTTGCATTTGATTTCCCTTCTATACCTGGGGAGGCTGGTAGCTGTAAACATACTGCAGTCATTTGGAACTCCCTGGTGTGTGTTTTTTCTGAGATGAGCTTCCAGCACTATTTTATCACTTTTGTTTTATTACTTTGATAACAGTTGGGTTTGAGTTCCTGCTTGTGTCTGCTCCGTCTTTGTTTGTAAAGCCTCAGACAAACACAATGAAACAGGTTTTTAATGTACACTTCACAAATCCATGGATTTTTGTCTTGACAGAGAGCAAAATAAACATTTGTCTGCCACAGATGGTGAGCACTAAGGATAATTGGAAATATTCCAGGTTTAGGAAAATATGAAAGCCAGCTCCTTTTTTGCACAAATCTTGTCATTTATTACATTAAGTAGTGTAAATATTTACACAAGGAATTAGAAGCTTTAGAGTTTTTAAGTTGCTCTCACCCAACCCTTATTAAATCGGCCATTTAAAAATAAAAAGTGTCTCCAAAAAATCTTTAGCTGCACAGTCATGTGCAGACTGTCCTGCTTCTTCTGTGCATTCCCCATCTTAACTCTCAGATTGAACCTGTGAACAGCACTGGTGATAACGATATTAATAATTGAAACATGAATAAAATATTAGAATTTGTTTTAGCAAATGCAGGGAAAAGCAAATGAGTGAGCAGGAGGACTCATGTGCTTTGGTGCCTCTTGTTTCAGCATGAGGCATGTAACCTGGGCCACCTGGCTGTCGTGGAGGAGCTGGTCTCAGAAGGAGCTCTGCTGAACACACCTGGATACGAAAACGATTCCCCCCTCCACGACGCTGTGAGAAATGGACATGCAGGCATCGTCAAACGGTTACTTCAGCTCGGCGCCTCGCAGAGTGTTCTGTAAGCTCCCTCACCTTTTTTTAGTTTTTTTTTATTTTACTTAGGTTTTTATGCTCTGAGTTTAAATGTCTGACTGATCCAGATGTCTATCACACATCTTTTCTTTTTTTTAATTCACGCGTTAGGTGTTGATATCTGTGTGACAAATCAATCCAGACTCGATATGAGGGTCAGGGCTACGTGTGGCATCAACGTGTGGCTGACACCTTTCAACCCTTTTTAAAGGTGTGACCCACCAGGGCTGGAGTGAAACAAAAGGTTTTAGCACAGTGAATACATGTAATCCTTCAGCAGTTTAAAATAATGAGTAAAAAAGTTGATTAGATAACGGTTCAAAATGTAGTCTTCTATCCTGTCTTTTGTACTTGTTGCATTGTTTCTTTGAGGTTCAACAGGACAACACATTTTTTAAGCACTTTTTATAATTTTGGTTTAGTTTACATGCTAAGCCTTCATGTTTGAAGCCTGGTTTACTATTTGTGAGAAGGTGTGTGTTGGTGAAGGGATACCAAGGTGATGCTGATTCATTGTTGGTCAGCCAGGTGTTGCTGCATCGGCTTTAAATTTCCCATCGAAGCGATAATTAGAACGGGTGTCAGGTAACCATTATGAGTGGAATCATTGATCAGGGTCGGTGTAATGGTCGGTTTGTGTTCTCTTCCTTTTTCATTTTATAACCATTATCATTTGCTGTTCGCCTTACTGCATTTTTCTCATTATTTTATTGGCTTCTGATTACAACGTGTTGCTTTTTTCTCGTCTTTACCTCGTGGCCTTTCTGCAAAGGAAAGGTGCAATGATGTGGACAGTCTGTCAGGGGTTTCCAGATGAATGGAGTCCTTGTCTTTAGGTAATTGCTTAGCAAGCACAACAGCTTGCACACAAGATGCAAACCAAGACGTCTGCCAGTGTATTTCCTAATGGGACGACTGGCACACAGCTCTTTTTTCTGCTCTTTTTTGGTTTGAGTGTTCCCATTGCTTTTTGTTTCCTCTAAATCGAATGCTGCCAAAAAAAAAAAAAAGATTTTTTTTTTTGGGATGGTCTGTATGAATGGCCTTTCATATGTCAGGAGTGATGACATTTTAATAAAACATGACTCTGGATGTGTTAACGTCTTCTTTTTGGGGAAAACTGCACAGCTCGCACAGCTGGGCGTCTTAGTAGTTCTATAAGGACGAGAGAGGCAGCCTACAGACTGCATATAGGAAGACGTTTAATAAGCATTTAAATACCCATGTTTATGCTCACTGCAGTAAAGAGATTAATTAGTATTCATCAGAAGTGGGAAACAAACAAGTTTATTTTAAGTTGATTATTGGCTTCTTTGTCAGGACTGAGAGTTGAATCCTCACAAGAAATCCATATTCAGAAGTTAATTGACCTCACCTATGGGCTTAATGCTGTTCTCATGTGCCAATAACACTGACACATTTGTATAATTAGACCTCATAAATCAAACAAGCATTAAAATCCAGGTTTGCAGTATTATGTGATGAGCACCCTAACCCTTTATGATCCAGAGAGATACGACAGTGCTTTACTGGTCTTGGCGTGGTTAACCTGGATTTAAAAACACTCTGAGGGGCTTTTTACATTTAAAAGTGAAATATAAGTCTGTCTTGACTTCTGGAGGTTTGGATGATTTAAAAGAAAATGCAGGGTAGGATGCATTGCTCAAGTCTCAGCGTGTGCCTCGCAGTTATTCAATTCTTGCACGCATCTTCGTTTTGCACAGTTTCCACAGGCAAACGACAGATGGTTGCAAAATGCTAAATGCAGTAAAGCATCAACGTAGGCCGAGGACAGCAAGCAAGTAAACAAAAGGATGAAAAGAAAAAGATTTGCAAATATTTTAATGCCATGCAAATGAATTCATCATCTTTGTTCGACCTCAAGGATGCACAGAATTTGTTTTTGGGTGAATAAGGCTGAGAGTACACAGGAACCTTGCTTGTTTACAAGAAAACCTCACTGGGCAACTTCAAGACAATGTGCTTTTGACAACCTGCAGAGAATAGATATCGGTTTCTTTCTTCATTTATCCATCCTTGAAATGTACTCCATAATGTATAACTGCTGTAGTTTTATTGTCTTGTCATAGCAAAGTGTAATGCCCATGTACGTTTTGGCTCTTTTTATATGGGACTGTGTTGTTTTTCTGTTACAGGGGATGAATTAGTCCTTATAGGCTGTCAAATGTTGAGTCTATCAGAAAACAAGCTCTATAATTCACGGCAAATTTAGAAAGGACTGGAAAAGAGATAGAAGTTTTTATTTAGAAAGATATGTTTAACTGTTTTCACAGTGTTTTCATTAATTGTCGACAACCTTTTTCAGAATTCCACACGTATCGATGTTGTAGTGTGGATCAAGAATAAAATGCAGACTATTTACAGACTTTTGGGCCCTAACAAAGAACCGGTCTTCAGAGGTAGTGCAGACTTAAGGCTCAGAAAAAGTATATAAATATATCCCGTTTAAGAATGCATTCTTATGTAATGCCTAAGTTTACCACAGATAGCTTCCACCAGTGGGCTCATCACTTTTTTTCCAGACTTCCTGCTAGACTGAGATAATTCAACAGCCCTGTCAGCCTTTCAACTGTCATAAGACCGGCATGAAATTCAAATGATACTCTCAGTTTAGTTTATTACAAGATTTTTATTAGCTCATTTATGTCATCGAGCTTACAAATAGAATTTGGATGGAGCCAGCGAGCATTCATCCACTGGATGGTGGATGACAGGAAGGCTGAAGCCATTTAACCAGAGCACACTCTCCCCGTCCTTTTGATCGATTTTCCAGCTGCTAATCATGCAAAGTTTTCAGCGTGCAGCTCAAACTTGTGATACGAAAATCTGAAAAGCTGACAAACAAAGAAGTGTCCTGTAGAGACCTGAATAGTTTTGTGGAATTGAAGCTGACTTATTTTTTTATTGGGAAGCTTGACGCTTGAACTTTGGGGTCTGAACGGATTGAGACCCTTTGAGCGGCATGGCTTTAGCAGCTATAGTTTTAGCGAAGGAGGTTACAGCTTCAACGTAGCAGAATAGTTCTTTTGTTGGTGTCGCTATTGTGTTTTAATGTTGGGTTCTAGTGGGAAAAATGTGCTTTGAAAAGAGCCAGAGAAGAGAAAGGTTTGAATCTTCTCCTAAACAGTTGTAGTTACAACAGGAGCCGCCTTCAAACAGTTGCTCTCACGTAAGCAGTGACATACAGGTCGATGGATATTTTTGCAACTTCACCTTAGGCTCAACCTTGTCAGGGTTTCTTACATATTCTCCTCACACGCTGCTGTGCGCATATGTTTAAGTGTCGGGGACCTTCTCTGTTTGTTTATATTTGTGTGTGTGTTGGGCTTGGGGTATGAATCCAAATGAAATATTTTATGGACCAGTGGACCTATTAATTGTCCCCCAGGTGTTATCTTTGCTGACGCCTAATCTTTCAGAGACGACCTGCTGGGTTTGGTTCCTCTCTTTATATCCTCACCTCCTCCCGCTCTCGCCTTCATCCCTTCTTCCTAAAGGTGACCTCAGCCTTATTCAGGCAGCGTCCTCAAACTTGGACTTCTCCTCGCTATCCCGATACCCCACACTGTAACTGGGAAATGCTTGATATTTTTTGGGTGGGCATAATCTAGTATAGCGTTTTTTTGATGGAGCTAAGCCTTTACTGCAGGCAATATTCTAAAGGTCGCCATGCATCGGAAATGAAATGCATTCTGAATCTGTAAAGGTAATGCAGTCCTCTCATCAGATGTACATGTGTGACACTTGACGCAATTTGTTTGTCATGCTGCCTTTTTTTTTTTTTTTTTTTTTTTTTTTTTTTTTTTTTTT